GTATATTAGGGCTGGCAGGTGGATAAGTAGCTTCTACGCTGAGGAAAGAAGAGACGATCAGTGTGTCCCAGTAAGGTGAAGTAGACTTCTGGAAACCTTCGCTTTTCTGCCTTTCCTTTGGAACAGCGTTGCCATCTGAAAAATCCGTGGAAAGATGAAATCCAATGGGGTTCTCTGAAGAGAGATTTTAGTGTTTTCCATCAGGTATTGATAAAACTGGAAGCACAGCAAAGTATAAAACATGAAGAAAGAAAATGACTGAAAGACTGCACTAAACACTAACTCTGAAAATACAAGAGCAAACAATATACTTTGAATATTGTCTTCTTCAGTAACAGCCTTAAATTTCTTCCCTAGTCAAGTCAGATTTGCAGGAGACTGAATAATATATTAATGAACCTTTAGCCCTTTTACAACATTGTCAATTAAAGACAACACGGGGTTAATGCAAGTCTGTCAAAGGAGGGCTGTGGTTTCCTGTACCTAAATGATATGTCTAATTGACTATTTTGCTTAAAGAGATAAACGTCCACAGATAAATGGCTCCAAATAGACAGGTGATCTGCCTGCTGTAGGCTTCTTAGGAAAGGATTGAGAGGGCAGGGTATTCTGTTCAGCCACCTTTTAGTGTGAGAGAAAATGTGGTGGCGCTGGAGTTTTTTAGGTTAACTTATGCTTCTGACATTTGAATCTATTCATTCTTGAGGGTGGGATTAAGACATGCTGAGGTCCTGAATTATTATTTAAGAGGCCCCATAGCATTACCAAAAAATGTGTAGTAGTCTAACAAAAAGGACAGTGGAAATAGAAATAATAAAGAATTATATTTGCATAGATACCAAAACATAGGCGAGAGTGCTACTAAAAATTAGTATTTTTTTTATTTAGCAGCACCTCATAATCTGAGGCTGTAACCTGTATTTAACTTAATTTGTGTATAAATCCAGCACTGCCTGCTTCTCTTTTGGGATCTCTTCTTTGTCAATTATGATGTAAGAAGTTAGTGTATTAAGAAAACTTAGCTGGCTATAAATTTTAAATGCATGGTTTGAGGCCTCAGTTGTGATACCATTGTAGCCCTACAACCTGGACTATCCATTTCTCTACCAGACATGATCTGCCTAGCCTTGGCCACAAAGTGCTTGCCCCTCAGCTGGGAACATTTCCTGGCTGTCCTAAGTGTTGAGAGAAACGGGCAGAAAGGTGCTTCACGAAGGGACACTGGACTACAGCTACTCCGGCCCTACCCCCTTCTCAAAGCCGCAGAGCTTGCAGACGGCGTTAAGAGCTTTCTAGCAGCCCGCTCTGTATGTGGGCAGGCAAAAACTGCCCGCGGTCCTTCCCCGCTTGGGGCATACCCGTGAGGGAGGGGAGGGCCACCGGCCAACAGCCTTTTCCTACACAGAAGCGCTGGAGCAGGGCAAGGGAATGGGAGCAGCCGGAGTACCCCCTTCTCAAAGCCGCAGAGCTTGCAGACGGCGTTAAGAGCTTTCTAGCAGCCCGCTCTGTATGTGGGCAGGCAAAAACTGCCCGCGGTCCTTCCCCGCTTGGGGCATACCCGTGAGGGAGGGGAGGGCCACCGGCCAACAGCCTTTTCCTACACAGAAGCGCTGGAGCAGGGCAAGGGAATGGGAGCAGCCGGAGCCGAGTTCAGCCCAGGACGCAGCAGCACAGGCTCGTGATGAAGAGCCGGGACCGCGCTCATGTGACGCCCAGCTGG